CCTTGATGAACTTTTATTCATTTCTTCCCCCTCGTCTACTGACGTGTCGCATTCTAAAACTAAAGTGTTTTCGATTTTAGCTGAATCATCATTTTGATAAATCAAAGAATTATAAGCGTCCGGTGTAATTAAACAAGGGATGTTTAGTTTATCTGTTAAAGCAAACAAAATATTTGAACTATAAAATAGACAATCGTCAGGGTTTTTATAATAAACTGGCAATATAGCTAATTTCGCCTCGACTTGTTCTTTAAATGCGGATTGTAAAATTATTTTTCCCTTAGCTTCTATTTCTAAAGACGGAAGTAGGGTCGTATTCAAAATAGAGATCTCAGCCCCGCTATCGATGATTGCGTCTATTTGTCTACTTGCAATAGAAATAGAGACTTTTTGTAAAGGGTACAAATTAATTTCATTTAAAGTTTTAGAACTCTGCAAATGTTTCGAATTTACATTTGTAACCACTGCAGTGTTATCACTGGATTTATTTATAGACGTTTGTGTGTTACTTCGTGTCTTGTTTTGAATATCATTACTGGCTTTATTTGATTGCTCATAGTATTTATTTCTTCTATTTGGGCAACTCTTAGCCATATGTGAGTTACTAGAACAGATATAACATTCGCGTGTGTAGGGAAAATATTTGTTTTCTCTAGTAAATGGGGAGTTTCTGAAAGGAGGCGGAACATACTTATGGTTTCCATTCGAATTGTGATTGTTGTTATAAGCCCTTAATTCGGTTCTCTTTTCAGTTATAATTTTTCCTCGAGATGTAAAATATAAGTCACATTCTTTTGCTAACTCAAGTGGCTTAAACCATTTTTCGCCCTGCCTAACGTTAATATGTGAGGCTGTATCTCGATCTAGTGTTCGAAACAGTTTGTCTGACACTATCAATTGCTTTAAAGTTTCAAAATCCTTTACTCCTCTCAAATTTAAATAGTAATCGAAACTCGTAGTTAAGCGCGAAGCAAATTGTATATGTGTTTCGTTTTCTCTTGATGCCCTTCTAAAATTCTCTAATACTGCCTGCGCTGTGGGTTCAAATTCTCTCAAAACAATTGATTTAATCACCTCATAATTGTTTAGATCTTTCTCTGTTATATAAGTTAAAATATTAGACGCCTTTTCCTCTAACAAGTTTAGTAAAATCTCTGCTTTATATTTCTCGGATATATTTTTTGTGTTAAAGGCTCTTTCTAAGGAAGTAAAAAAAAAGCCCCACCCTTCCGACTTACTCGGCACTCGAATTGTTAATGTTCTCACACTTTTTATTAAATTTTCTAAATTATCGCAATCCGTTTCACTGGTCACTGTAGTCTTAGACGTGTCAACTAGGTTACCTCTAATATTCGCAATTTCTAACTGCTTTTCTAATTGAGCTAATTTTAACTTTTCTAACTCTATTTCCTGTTCTGATTCCCGTTTTGCTTTTTCTAACCTTTCCCTTTTTTCTTCCAAAACATTCTCAATTAGATCACGTAAAAACTCAATATCATTTTTAAATTCATCGCTAGATTCAATTAAGCGCTTTAAATCCACTATTTTAGCATTTTCGGGAATTATTAAACCCAATTCTTCTGCAATCGTAATTAACTCATCCTTTTTAAGGTTCAACTTAAGTGCCATTTTTATATTTAGTTATTAAAAGAACTACACTTTAATATCAGTAACTCAATCAACTAATCACTACGCTTTCATCGAAAGCAATTCTCTTCACTAAACACTAATTAACAAAGTAAACTAACTCCTCTAAAGCAATACACATAGTAAACTAAAAGCATCACAAATTACAATTAATCGAAGATTCCACTTACCCCTACAACTTAAATCATACTCAATTATTATTATTCAAAAGGGGAACGCCATTGCACTTCCGCTGTATCGGGATCGTTGTCCAACGAAACCAAAACTATCGCTCAAGACACAGAATTAAATATTGTAATCCATAACTTTACATAAATCATCTCTAGGTCTACTGGCCATGTTTTGGCTCTAATTCTCGTATGAGATCGTGCTGTGATATCATACTGTCCAAATAAATAATTAGACCAACAAAAGAACGTCTTTTCTTTCCAGCCGCTACGTGCGAACTCTCGACCTTTATTTACAACATCTACATTTGCTGACAGCGCCATCGCAACATGGAGGCATGACATTGGGCATAAAGTTTAAAATCTGGAATTAGTTTTACTTCTAAATCTGTAGATTTTTTTAAAACCATTTATCATTTTAGTCGACTTTATATCGAAATATTCAAGTTTAGAAACATTATATATAACAGGGAGTCACGTAAATGTTGTGACAATCTTCTAGAGGAGGTAGAGTTCATCGAATTTTATAGGAACCTATGCTTTCAAACGTCGCCGAAATGTCTATGGACACTTCCCTATTATGACCATACGAAGAAGAAGTTCAAAATAAGAGAGCGCCTCTAGCTGCGCCTGACAGCATTTCCGGGTATGGGTGCCTGTGCAATTTTAATTCTGATAATGTGTTTTATCCCTATAAGTTTGCTGCAAGATTTATGTGACCCCCTGTTATATGAAACGCTTTCAAAGTTTGACAAAAAATAGACTTAAAATTTCATTAAAAAAAGCGTAGTTTTGGAAATCAAAGTTGCTTGCTGGTCTTAAATCAGGGATGCAAAAGTGTTTAAGATTTTTTATAAAATATCATGCAAGGAAAAAAAAATTCCCCAATCTTATTTAATTATTTTTAGATTTTTATTCTTATCCGAAATATAATTCACCATGAAAATACTTTTCTTCTTATATTTTCATTTATAAATGCTTGAATAAGTATTTTTAAACGAATTAAAATAAATATTTTAATCTTTGCTTGAACTAACAAAGTAATTGTTGAACTAACAAAGTAATAAATTAAATGCATTCACTTTTTAGAATTATTACTTTTTAAAAATTATCTTTCTTGTACAGTTTCTAGTGCGTCATATATTTTTCAGAAAATCACTTTTTTATACTTCTATGCATAATCTCGCATGGTGCTTCAGATCTCATTCCAAATTGTTACTTTATTATCGCTGAGAATTTCTCGCGCCATAAAGCCCGCTACCATCCCAGCTGTGCAGAAGCGCTTTGTCTTTTGCCTCAATACTTTAACTTATTGGGGTAAAACTCTTGCTTAAAGTTAGCTTTTGGCTCACTTGAGCGTATTGGCGAAACGGGAGACGGGTTCAAGACGTAATTTGTACAGTTACTTGAGATCAACTTGGCAGAAGGAGTTCTTCGAAAAAGAGGGTAAGGAGATGACTTTGTTTTGCTTGTTTTCGTTTTTCCTTTTCTTCCGGGCATATTTGGGGGTATTTGTTTTTTTCTTACTCGATTAAGTTCACCTCATTTACCGAAGCTATTTGCTTTACTCAATGAGTTCTCTCTTAAAATAGGAATTTCCTGAATAGATTTCATCTCTTTCAGCTCAATTTTTCAATCCCGGTCCTTTGCCAAATGGTTTTACCTTTAAATGATGTTTTGAGATTGGATCTGTGCTGGAGGAGTATATATCGTTCTGGAAATTTCAGTGATAGCACTGCCATAAATGAATAAAAACAATTTTCTGAAACATTTTTATTTTGTAATCTAGAAAATGAGAATTTCATTGTTTTTTTTTCTTCTTTTCTTTAATAAAAATGGTAGAGAACTGATACAAATAGAAATAAATACATTTCCTTTATTCAGTAGATAAGAAGTATTACGATTATATGGCTGCAATTTTAGTTTTAGTAAAATGTGCACTGCTTTCTGTAATGTTTTAAAATAACTATAGAGATTAAATATAGTTAGCTGAAAATGAATAAAACAGTTATATACTAACAAAAGTATTTTAAACAAATATGGAATAATGTATCTCAAATCTAAAAGAATATTAAACATTTACCAACATTTTTTTTCCTTTGGTATCAGAACACATTATCATATTTATTCTTCAAATTAATATATATTTTAATTAACAAGAATATAAGTGTTGTGAAAAAAGGAATACAGAGAATTGTAGCTCTTGATAGTTTGTATGGACCTCTTTTATTACCTCTCCCCCCAATTATGGTTACTTTGACACTTTCTCTGCAATTAATTCGAATCTAAAAGAATGTTTAATATTTACTTACATATTTTCATTTAATATCAAAGCACTAGTTAATGTCGAAAGAGTATAAAAAATGAAAAATAAATTATTTGATAAGAATATAAATATTGTAAAAAAGAATATGGGAAATTGTAGTTCTAAAATTTGTATTAACTTATATATTGTTAAGTTTATATTGTATCGATAAGATTAATTGGAAATTTGTATCACGCAATCCCCCAATTGTGGTTAGTGAAACCATCTCTGCGATTAATTGACAGTTTGCTTAAACTGTCTGAGTATATTTATCTGGAAAATTAGCACACAGGTGAAGTACAATTATCAATATTTCATCAATATTTTGGGTGGTGGCTTTCCTTAGGAAACAACATCAATCTACATTACTTTATTTAACTATAAATACAACATATAAAGCACTTTTTGTTCATTTCTAAAGATTTTTTTTTTCAGTTATACCTTAAAATTTTAACTATGCCAAAAGCAAAATTGTTTATCAAAGTTTTATAGCACTCAATAAATATTCTTTATTAAAGTTTTAGTTGTTATTTAGTAAACTAGGTTTTAAGTGTATAGCAACACTGAATTGTTAAAATTCAATGCTGTCGACAGGAAAAAAATGAATCTGCTAAGATTGGCATATGTGTAAGATTAGCTCATCCTCTATATTAATACTTACATACCAAAATACCTTGGCATAAATAGTTTAAAATTAATTTTTCTCGTTAATGATGACCTTATATCATTAAAGCAGTTCAAAATACTAAAGGTTATCTCCTTTAATTTAGGTATGTTTAATATTTTCAAAATTATCTGCATAAAACTTTCAACAACAATTGATAAATAGTAATTATTTAAAGCGAAAATATGAAAAAAACTGAAAAAGACACTCAAAATTGCATTTTCTTTCTAATAGTTCACTCTCTCAACACTGTAGTTGCAATTCTGTGGGCAACAGAGTCGTTCATATGTCATTGTTTGACAGAAGCTTAACAGACAATGATTCTAGAGCTACTTTATCAAATGCTATTTTTCCATCATATTCCTTGTACATTTTTCTACAGACTTTCAATATATCAAGTTACTAAATCTTACGGTTTTGCGCTGCAAAGCTAAATGTAGCGCGAAGATGTATATTCTAGCTAAGGCATCTCCACTGAAACGTGATAAGTTGGACTGAAAATACTTTTTTTAGACTTGAGTTTTTTTTTTTTTTTTTCATAAACAGAAACGTATTTTTTTCACCATTTTCATTAACAAATTTAAAACTTCAATATCCAAAATTTTTGAATCGTAATAATCTCTTTTTTCGTTTGCTTACAACAATAATAGTCGTAGTAGGTATTTTTAGCAATTTATTTATAGTTAGCAAAAGTAGACATTTAAAAAATTTTATTTTTGCATTGTTGAAAATTACTGAATTTATAAGTTATTTGGATAAAGGTAATTTGTTACTATTGTTTCATTATCTTATAACATATAACATTATTTTTGTAACATTATATTGTGACAAGTTTTCTTCGTAACTTGTTCATTGTAATATTTTACCTATGTACAACTATAAACGTGTCGTAGTTCCTTTTTCTTTATTTATTTAACTTTCACATTATTTACCTCGTAACTAACAAAACCTTTTACTTAGGTTTACAATAAAGTGATATGGAACAGTTGCCATGCAGTTGAAATTATTTAATTTATTCACTTAAATTATGTTACAACAGGATATATTTGTGTTTCCCTTGACAGCATTATTAAAACTATCAATCCTTAATTCTACAGAGAATTCTGTTAATCTAAGACATTCTCTTTCAGAACAGATTGCTTGTGTTTGGCTTTTAGAATTCCTTCTGTTAGAAATTTCATCATAATTCGTAAGCTGCTTCATCTAACGTTTCAAGTAACAGGATCGATTTTAATAATAGTAGCTGCTGCTTTGTAATTAGACAGAATTAGTTTCTTTCAAATCAATTCGAGAGGCGATTTCTCAGGTGCCATGAGAATTTATTCAACCAGGATTTAAATAGTAATAGTATTTTCAGAATAGTTTTAACAAATAGTAGACATATAGACAGAAGGTGACTGGGTAATTAACAATTATTTTGTTTGTTTAAACTATTGAACTCTATCGCATACATTCTTTTTTTCACTAACCCCCCATGATTGCTACAATAAATTCTTGTTTCTTGACGATTAACAAAAAGTTTATATAATCATAATTATGTAATATTTCTGTATAATTTCTAATATTTCTGTTTGAGTAAATATTTTAACTAACTGAATCGATTTTGATAATAGAAGCTGCTGCTTTATAATTAGACAGAATTCGTTTCTTTTAAATTAATCCTAGAGGTAGTTTCTTACCTCATGCTCAGGTGCCATGAGAATTCATAAAGACAAAATTTAAATAGTAATTGTACTTACAGTATAATTTTGAACTTCAGTATGCATTAAAAAATAGTAGATATATGGACGAAAAGTGGCCAGGTAATTACCAATTGATTTGCTTGCTTAAACTAGGGAATCCTACCTATTATTTGCTTTTCCCTCAAAACCGTATAATTGCTACAATATTTTTCTTTTTTTATGACATATTTATGGTTTAATTTTTTTTAAAAAAAGAAACTATCTAATTGAAAGATCTCAAAATATTTACGCTTGCTTGGCTTTACAAATTTAGTTCCTGGTTGTTTTGGAATACAATTTAAACCTTTCAATTTTTCTTGGTTATCAATAAAACTTTATCTTTTCCTTTTATTTATTTTTTGATTGGTATAAAAATGTATAAATATATTTCGCTCAAGAGATCATTCAGTAATAGTGCGAAAATAAATTCCTATTTTTGTTTTGATACTTTGTATTCATTATTTTAATTGCATTTGATAACTGGACGCTTACACGAAGCTTATAATAAAGCTGTTTTAAGCCTTTAATTTGAAACAATTACCAGAATCTTGTATAATAAAAAGGATAATAAACACATATTACAGGTAAGACAAAATATTTCAAAATACGATTGAAAAATATTTCAAAGGTTAACAATACAGATGTGTAAGGTGACGTCTTTTTACTTGCCTGTTCATTGGCAATCCATCAATAATCAATCAGTTACAGTTAGACCAATCGGAATACGTTTTTATTGGAATGGGAATACGAATCGTCCAATAGGAATAGTGCTAGTAACTAGTTGCTATTTACCACCAGAAATATACGAAAATTTATTTATTCATTTTAATGATTTAGTTCAGCCTCTGATTTAGACATGTCTATGCCTGATGGGGAAAAAAATCTTGACTTGTAAATTTTAGGAGTCAGTGAGAATGCACGGGCTGCTCATCATTTTCATCTGATTCTTATGGATGTCGAAGCATTGACGGGATTAAAATGATTCTCAGACATTTAAAAGAAACGCAATATTAATGTGATTTTGGAATTTATTTTCTTTATGTTTGGTAAAAGTTGTAAATTGATTTAAGTAACTTAGTTAACCTTTTGAATTTCAAACTACAAAGTGGTTTGCAAGTGAGGTTTGAGGTAGATTTTATTTTTCAGAAAAACCGAAGGAAAAAAAAAAACAGATTAGTTAGAATTGTTATACTAAAATTTATAAGTACTTCCCAGAAGCCGTGGTAACTCAGAGGATAGAGCGTTCGCCTTTCAATAAGGTGAACCGGGTTTGAATCTCAGCGATTGGTGGTCGATACGAATTCCGTACCCGACTCGCATCGACCATAGTGCTAATGTAAAATATCCTCAGCGGTAGACGGATCGTGGGTCAGATTCCCCTTCCCATTCGGCTAATCGTGGGAAGTTTTCACGTTTTTCTTCTCCATGTAACGTAAATGGAGCTTAGTTAAATCAAAAAGTCCTTCACGAAGGCGAATTTCTCCCAATACTTGATCTTGGAGTTCTTACAGCTTCAAGATTACAAGGCAACGGAGTTGATCATCAGTGGTCGTAAACCCGACATTGGGACAGCTGTAAGGTTATAAAATAAAAATACACTTTGAAGAAAAAAAATATTGAGTGACTTGTCTGCATAAATTTAAAATGTTTGAGTGTTTAAATGAATAATCAAATACAGGGAAAAAATTCATTTTCTTCAAACTGCATATCGATTATTTTTATAATAAATAAATTATAATATTTTAATGATATTTGTGATTTTATATATTTATGGTATATTTTTCCATTAAACAAGTAGAATTAAATAACAATAAAACTTTATTTTATCAGTAATAAATTAATCTTTTTAAAATGTCTGCACAACTATCTAATTTAGGGGAAATAATTACGAACTGTTAATAGGATTATTAGATTTTTAATATAAATATACAAATAACACAAGGGCACTTTGCATTAAGCATTTTATCTATTTTAACGCAGAAGAACTGAAACATTTTGTGTTGATTACAAAATTAGTGGTGATAAAATTTCTGTGCATAATTCTATGTTAAACACAATGTTAATAATTTGTTGTTTTAAAGTTCTTAAAAATCCTGCTTTATTTCTCAAAACGTGACTTATTTTTTGCCACGCCTCTTGCATATCTAAGAGCCTTTTGCACACAATGGCGTGCAAAAGTGGGTGTATGCGGAAAATTACCTTGATTATATGTTGTAATTGAAGGGTTAAAAAAATTAAGAGATTTCAATTTTAAAATATAATGAATAATATAGGAATTAAATATATATTTGAGAGTTTAAATCCAAATTGTAAATTCATTTTTGCATAAATATAGGAGTAAATAATTTTATGGTAAAATATTTGTTATTTACAATAATATATTCTTACATTTTTTAATGTAAAGAAAATTTAAAATTCCATGTTCTAACATTAAATTATTTAATTTGTTTGAAAATTACCTTTTATTCTTCATAAAATATTATACTTCAATTAAATTTTTCTTTAATGTAATATTTATTCTTCAATCAAATGTTTTTTCAATCTAATATTTATTCTTCGATCAAATATTTATTCCTCAATCTGATATTTATTCTTTCAAAATTTTAATTTCATAATAAAATTCTGTCGCCAGGGGGTACAAAACATTTTCTAGTCGTTAATCGAAAAATTGGCTGAACCCATTAGTTAGTTTATATATATAGGGCTGTTGCTCTATAAATTAAATAGTTGCCCTTTCTTTCTAAATTTCAGTGAATACATAACTATTTGATAAACATCAAAAACGGTAATGAATGATTGGTTATAGTTGTGTTAGTCAGCAAAGCTTCGAAATAATAAATAGTGGAATAAACGATGATAGAAACAAAGTACGATTTATGTTCGAAAAGTTTTAATTTGTATAATTTATATCCGTCAAATAAAACATTAGAAAAGAAAGTTTCGATGAAATTTAAATTCATTAAACCTATCATGTTTTCAAGACAATTAACCCCTCCCTAAATATAGTCTAAAACTCCACTCATATCTAAGATTTGTCAGTCATGAATTAAAATGGTTAGACAAACCTTCTAAAACATTATTCGCTGAATAAAACATTAAAAAATAAAAATAAAAATATTAACCAAAAGTACATTTTTTAAACCTATAAGTTCACAAAGCAATTAACTCCTCCCTAAATATAGTCTAAAACTCCACTCATATTTAAGATTTGTGAATTAAAATGGTTGGACAAACTTTCTAAAACATTATTCGCTGAATAAAACAGTGAAAAAATAATTTCAATTAAATGTGCATTTTTTAAACCTATCAAACTCACAAAGCAATTAACTCCTCCTTAAATATAATTTAAAACTCCGCCCATTTCTAACATTTGTCAGCCACGAATTGGATGATCAGACGAGCCAACTAAAACATTATCCTTTGAATAAAATATCAGAAAAATTAATCTCAATTAAATGTAAATTTGTTAAGCCTTATCAAGTTATCAAATCAATTAACTCCTCCTTAAATATAATCTAAAACACCACCCTTCTTCAACAATTGTCAATCATAAATAGGGATGGTCAGAAAAGCTTACAAAAGCGTACTCATTGAATGAGATAGTAGAAAAGAAGTCCAATTAAATTTAAGCATTATGTGTTGCGTAGTTGAAAAAGTTTTATGATACTCCTTGAAAGCGGTAAAGGAAAAAAGTAGGAGGAACTCTGCCCATTCTTTTTGCTCATTATCATTCTTATAAGTTTATATTTTGGTTATCGATACTTCTTAGACATCGGATATTCTTTAAATTCCTTTCCAACTTTTTTATTATAAATAATTAAAAAATTTCAGAAATTACATTGAATGTTATTAATTTTGTATTTACTTAATAATTTATTAAATACCTTTTTACGAATTTTAATAAATAACATTTAATTTTAATAAATACGAAATTTTAATAAGTAACACAATTATTAATAAATAACAAAATTATTAATAAATTAGAAAATAATAATTTAAATGAATACAAAATTACAATAGTTTTTACAATAATATTTTAATACATTATGAAATTGAAATAAATATATTAATTTTCAAAAAATTTTGAAAAATCAGTATTTATTTATATGTAACTTTGTAATTAATCTAGGAGAAAAAAAAGGGAGGATGTAACCTCCTTTTATTCTTATTTGTTGCTATTTAACAATTGGTTACAAAAATTTTCGAATTTAGCGTATATGAGATGATCAGAACATTAAATGATTATTCTTTACTTCTTAATTCTTTTGATTCTTTACTTATTCTAATGCAATTCTTTACTTATTTTTAATATTTGAATGTTTAATACTTTTCTTCTTGTTTTAGAAAAATTAGGTATGGTTGGTTTGGTGGCTTATTATGGTTTATGGCGTATATTTTTTTTCCTTCAATATATTTTTTACAAAAAATGGGCGGAAGGAGAAATTTCCACTTATTCTGATAGGTTGCTGTATATCAATCAATAATCAAAATCAAATGATTTATTTTAAATGTCTCAGATGGACGATGATAGATTACACATTAAAGTTATTAAACTAATTAGACACTGGAAAAATATTTTAAACAGCATGTTTTGAATTCTTTTACATTTGTTTTTGAAATATTTTATTTCTTTTGTTTATTATTGAGAAGCTATCATAATACATTACAAGTTACATTGTGATAATTTATGTATGGAAAATGTTTGCCATTGCTCTTATTTTTATTTAAATATTGCATCTTTCACTTAAATTGGTATCAGCAAATATTTCTAGCAAAATAAATCTGAGATATTTATTTCGATTTTTTTTCAATGAATATGAAAATCATTTTATTATGATAGGCAGTATGACAATTCATTCAAATAAAGTATTAAAAATTGTTACACTCATTATTTGCGTGCGAAGCTGGCGGTAAAGACAGAAGAGTTCGACTGACTCATGACTGCAGGACATTCACACTGTTGTTTACCTACAAAACTGCTCAAAACTAAATTTTTTTATAAATAGTTCAAATTATAAGTGGAATTAATGATCCCGATATTTTAGCCATAATGCTTGTCAAAGTTTAAACTTTTTTCCATT